TAGCATGAGCTCCTGGAGGCACCATACTCCAGGAGCTGGATTTGAAAGGGCCTTTGAAGCCAGAGTAGCTAGGCAAGTACTCTCCAGCAGAATTATAAACTATTTGTTTTTGAGGCAGGGATGACCTTTCTGCCTCTGCCTCCACTGTGGCTGGTTTTTCAGGCCTGTGTCATCCAGCCCAGTGTTTGTTAATCCTAAAATAGGAAGAGAACAATTAACTCTAAAGTGTTTACTTTTTCACAGCTAAGGATGTGTCTGAATCTTCCTCTGTGCCACAGTTCTAAAAGGTTTCGTTCATCTTGAATCCTTGTAACCTCTGAACTGTCTGGGTGTCACCCAGGAGAGGAACGCGATTAAATACACTGCAGAAACTTGTTGCATAAACTTATCCTTAAGAATGTGGTTTCTTTTAGGATGGAAGAGTGTAGAGAGTGTCCCAAAGCTGGTGTCTGAATATATGTCAAAAAAGATAAAAGTTGACGAATTTGTAACTGACACTCTATCATTCGACCAAATCAACAAAGGCTTCGACCTGATGCACTCGGGGAAAAGGTGAGCTTTCAGTTCAGCGACACTTAGAGTGGGAGGGATGAGCGGAACAAACAGAACATCAGTGGTCCTTCATGGCTCTGAAGGAGCCCAATGACATGAGTGAGTTCAGTCCCCATGACCCACATGATAGAAGAGAACTGATCTCCACACACATGCCAGGGTGCACACATAGAATAAATAAATGTGATTTTTTTAGTTTTCCACACACATGCCAGGGTGCACACATAGAATAAATAAATGTGATTTTTTTTAGTTTATCTTTCAAATTTTATTCTTCTTGCCCTGTCTCACAGCATTCGAACCGTTCTAAAGATGTAAGTTCAGAAGAGAACACTGTCCTTCCTGTACTTTTTCCTGTGATCAGAAGAGAATAGACTGACAGATCTGCTTCAGAAACTACTAGGAGTGCGTATAATCATGTCTTTAATCAAGGACAAGGCAAATAATCACAAGTCAGTTTTTTGAACTCTCCACGTAAATAATTGCCGCTCAAGAAATATTTTAACGTAATAAAAATACTTTCTGCATTTGTTAGTAAATTGAACATCTTGTCGTCTCTCTTTAGGCTGTCCAGTATACTGTCTAGAAACAATGCTAACCCAAAAGAAAGGTTAATTTTTAATTCATCCACATAGGCTTAGTTAACAAGCCAAGATTAGAATATTCTTTGTCTGCAAATACCGATTAGAAACATAACACTACCAAGCAGTCAGTAAACTTGTTAAGTTTATTTAGGCAGCTAGTTTGGTAATACATCCTTGAACTGTGTTGACAACAACCAAGTGGCCAGGTGAAGTCAGCCCTGCCTGCTCATAGGGCTGCTTTTGGTAGAATTGAGAACAGAACAGTGCAGTGTGCTCTGTCAGCTGGACACTGACCACAAGTCAAGGGCATGCTCCACAGGACACCTCTGCCTAAATGTCTACTCAGCTACTCCCATAGCCCAAAGTGAGGCCACGCTGTGAAGGCTGCAGAATGCTCAGACGCATGACCTGTCATCTCACTTAGGGCTCAAGTACTGATTTGAGTTGAAACACTTGGAGTCCACCCAGCTACCAATAATGCAAATTCGCTTCAGTCACATTGTCCTGTAAGCTGTTGCTAAGCTGTGATGTCAGTGCATGCGGGTGTAACCTGTCCCCTAGCCACACTGTTCAAATCAGATCCCTGGTATCCTGGGCGTGCGCTTCTCTCAAAACACAGTAGTACAGATGTGCTTACCAGTTTAGTACAAAGAAGATGCAGACAAGTATCTTTGGCTTGTTCTGGGGGTAGGGTGGGAAATGTGAAACAGGAGTAACAGGGCTGAGAGCCTCAGCACTCAAGAAAACACCAAAGTTTGCCAAGTTAAAGCTTTACCCATCTTTTAAAAGCTGTACATAGGGATTTCTCAACCGTCTTCACAGAAGTTTCTTTCAGTAGATGGCAATTAACAGATGCTCAACTGGTCAACATGCAGAGAATAACTGGATTGCTAACCCTAAATGAGATGTATACTTCACACCCTTCCAAGGTTCAGATTTTGTGGAAGATGGGGTAGAAAGATTGTAAGAGCCAAAGGTGGTGGATGATTTCAGGCCAACTTTTCCAGACACACCCTAGAAGCTGCACATATGAACTCAGAAATTTGTGACACCATGCACAAGACATCACATGATCAAGCCAGACGAAGTCTCAGCGTGAAGACACGCAAGTGAGCACAAAATTCCATCCCTAGCCAAGGAGCTCTTATGGCATGGCCCCTGCGGTCACATTCTAGGCCAGGCCTCCACTCTGAGCAGTTGGGCAACACAAATTGAACTCAATGAGTTTAAAGTGGAAGAAAACACAAAGTTGGGGGAAGTAGGAAGATGAAGGTAGATCTGGTATGAGATGGGAGGAGAGCGGTGTACCAAAATACATTGTCTCAAATTCTCAATTTTAAAAAAAAGTTATTTGAATAAGACTCTAGGCTGGCGCTGGTGGCATGCATCCTGATCCCATCTGAGGAAGGCAGATCTCTAGTCAGAACAAGTTCTAGGACAGCCAAGGTTACACAGAAAGCCCTTCTCCCAACCTGCCCCTGCCAAAAATAAAAACAAGCTATGAGCCAATAGTGATACTGCTAAGGGCAGAGCAGTGGACTGTCAGCTAATAAATGCTGAGGGTTGATACATCTGCAAAGTGCTTCTCTGTAAAATGTTCATGTAAATGAAATACTCGATTTGGGAAATCCAAATTGCAGAGCAAATGCAAGCAAATAGTGGATTCAGGGAAGGATATCAATGAATGCTAAAGTCATTGTGTGAACATGATATCCATAGTCTCCAAGTAGCTTCCAATCTACTTGTTTAAAAAAGTCAGAGTAAAATAGGAACAGGGAACAGACACGGAGTGATCGAGCACTGGAATACTCTTGACAATTCATATGGGCCGTAATGAATGCAGCGTGGCATCCACGAAGTCTTCTGTCACAACATTTCCCCTGAGCATATCCTCCTGAGAACTGACTTTTATATGCAACTGTCACTATTTCCAGTGTTAATTTCCTACAGCACTCACAGAGCAGGGACGTTATTACAGAACAAATTATTGGCCATGACACGGTGGGGTGCACAGAAGAAACTTGGGGGAAACTGAGTCTGTATACACATTTATTATGCACCAATGTTAAAAACTGTGTTGGTATAACAATTAACATTACAATCACGTAGACTCCTTTGCTGGGGTGCAGGTACTTACTGGGAATTGAACTGCCAAGTCTCGTGTGCCAGTCCACCACACTATCAACCGGTAATACTCTTGGAACAAGCATCCTTAAAGAAATAAAGGCTGAAGTATAAGACCCTTTTCTTCTGTACAAAGTTCTGGGTTCAATCCCAGGACCAGCTCAGAGTAAGGAAGCATTTGAACAGTTGGGTATAGGTAACTTACTACTTCACTATACTTTCAACTTTCCTATAAAATTTTCAAAACATTCTGTAAGGTGTGCTATGTATATACACACCTTCACTGAGACTAAAGAAAAAGGAGTCCCTCTCCACCACTCGGCCCTGTTCCTTCAAGGGAGCATCTCATTGAGCCTGGAGCTCCTGGTTTCTAGCTATGCTGGTAGTCGGCAAACCCCAGTAAGCTCCCGCACTACTGAGATTCCAGGCATGTTTGAGGACACATCAGGCTTTTACATGGGTGCTGGGATCACAAACTGGTACTCGTGATTGTGCATCACGCACTCTTTAACTACTAAGCCATCTCTCTAGTACAAGAATTAAAATTTAGAAGATAATTTTCATATATAATGGGTGTGTATCTACCATTGCAGAACACTATATTGTCAATTTCGACCAAACCAGAAGTGATTTAGAAATCAGTAATTAAGCAACAACAGCAAATCCCCAGTCTGATTGTCTGTAATTTAAAACGCACGGGGGACAAGTATTATACACACTGCTGAAGGGTTTCTAAACTACTTATCCACAAAAATATAAAACAAAGATAAGAAATGTGATCCTTTATCTTTTTTGGCAACAACTGGATTTGGAGTCACCTAGGAGACACACTTATGGGAGTGTCTGGAGTGTTTCCACCATGCTGAACGTAAATAGCAACATCATGTGGGCTAATGTCCTAGACTGAATACAAAGAGGAAACAGAAAGCTAGTCAAGCACCAGCATAATTTCATCTACTTCCTGAGGACACAAAGTTGATTGATGCTCTACTGTGACTCCATTCTCCCAGGATGCACCATGTCCCTTTAAACTATAAGCCCAAATAAATCTTCCCTTAGGTTGCTTCTGTTGGGAATTGTCAGCCACAAAAAAAAGGCACCGATGCCAAGGACAAACATGTTTTCTTCATTTAAATTGTAGCTACAGGAAATGCAAGACGAACAGGAGGATAAAGAACGGTCATCGTACAAGTTAAACTGTATGCTGCAGTAGAGGAGAGCATGTGCCTACTATATACAAGGCCACCAGTTCAATCCCAGCACGGACAAAAAAAAAAGCTAATACATTAACTGTGGTAGAACAAAGTAGATGTTTTGTAAACTAAGCCTATTAACTGGAGATATTATAATTAGACTAGAGCCCACATTATTTAAAAAAAAAAATCAAACCAAGGAAAGCACTCCTACAAGCATGTCTAGTCTTTCTACAAACTATAAGGTTTCATTCCTGAAGCTTTATTTTCTAATGATATAAACTTAACACCACCCCACTCACTAATCCTACTGTCTGAATACAAACTGCTCCCCTAAATATACCATATTCTTGACCTAAAAGCTCTCATAATACAGCTACATCTCAAATGATGCTGCCACGCTCCTGGATTAAACAACATGCAATTATGGTACAATACTATACCTGAAAAGGTGTGTATGCTCCAATGGACATGAGTTTAGTTTGGATGAAATTAGTCTCATCCCATCAATTCCCTCTGAAATTCCAACAAAAGCAACTACAGTAAGTGGGATAATCATTCAAACTTTTAATCTCCCTTTACATATTATATTAACATTCATATTACAAAGCATTCCATTCACAAATATTACAGTTTGATTAAAAACTTTAAACACACACACACCCAAAAGTTTACACCAGATTCAATCACTTTACTAAATCATTAAAGTCATGAAAACATTATCATTCTCTTAAAGCAATAAGGTCTGAGGCACTCTGGAAAAGATGATGTCTTAAAGTATGTGTCACTGGTATCAAATTATATTACAATAAAGTCATGAGATAGCTAGGAATCAAGGATGCTCTCGTGACAGCTTTATGCTCTAGTGTGTCTCCACTGCACACAGAGCACAGACGCTGGCCCCAGGGTCAGTTTGGATGACTCTCGTCTACAGAGGTGAGGTACATGGCGACACAGGGCAGCAGCATGCCCGCGGGCACTTGGAGTCCTTTCTCACTGCCGCCAGTGACTAAATGCTAACCCTCAGTCACCACGACTGGAGACACTGGAATTCTTCCCCCGTCACCTGCCTGCCACAGGACAACTGTCACTCTTCTCTGAGTACTTGGGAGGGAAACCTCAGAAAAGAAGGGTTGTGAAGAAAAGGTCTGAGACAGCAGTGTACTGTGAACTGATGCTGCAGTGCCAGCCCCCGCCTGCAGCACAACTATCTCACCACCTCCCAAGAGAGCCTTCCCATTCACTCACTGAGTCCACACTGCAGGAGACTTTTCTACATACATACAACGGTAAATAATTAGCATGAGGGTGAGTGGAGTCCAATTCCCAACCAGGAATTAACCACTAGCAAATTATGGATCCACTTATGATAGCAGATATCCTGTCAAAGCAGAATCAACCCAGACCAAAGGTCATACAGTGTTCAATAATTTTGTACATGGAATTTAAAATGTATGCATATATATATTTCCATATATACCAATATATAATTAAAAATCTGGAGCAATGTGTTGCTAAAGTTTCAAGATTTCTCATCTTCAACACTCTCCTGGAAAGCAGCTGGCCCTTGGCAGCTCGTCTGTGGCAGTGACAAAGCAGTGAGAAGCAGATTCAGGGTCAAAATGCTCAAGGAACAAAGAAGAAAACAGAGTACAGAGAACTGAGGGGGTGAGGCTAGGGACTGAAGGAAGTAAGCAATGTTTCCTTTATTCTTCTCAGCTTTTTCAGACCCCCAAAAAAGCTCTGAGGACACACACCAAATGCTGTAGTCCCTTCTTAGCCACAGTCAAAACAAACTGAGTGATTTCTAAAAGGCTGTTCATTTCTGTACTTTCAATAAAAACGCACAGTACAAGATGGTGTTCAGACATTAGGCATCTTGGGAGAATTAAAACTGGGACATGAAATGAGGCCGAGAGCTATCAAGTCTCCGGGTAAGAATTTCACAGCCAGTGTCCGTGACCAGCAGGGTGTGCTCGAACTGGGCGGATCGCTTTCCGTCCCTCGTCACTGCAGTCCAGCCGTCTGGCCAGGTTTCATCCTGCCATCCACCTTAAACAAGCAAAAACAGTTGCTTAGTTTTGTCATTCACATCGCTCACAGTCTCTAGGTTAGTATGCATCAAGAAAGGAAATAGCCTACGGTGGTGCACACCTTTAATCCCAGCACTTGGGAAGCAGGGGCAGACAGATCTCTGAAAGAGGCCAGCCTGATCTACAGAGTTTGAGTTCCAAGACTGTCAAAGCTACACAGAGAAACTGTCTCAAAAAGCAAAGAGAAGAAACAGGCAGTTGAATCCCCCATCGAGATCCACCTCAACGCTGTCTCAGGTAGAGCATTTCCATTTCATCCCCGTGTGCAGCACTCTAAGGAAATGACCATGTCCAGTTTTCCTCAGAGTAATTAGCAAACTGGCCATTTTTCTATTTCTCAAATCAGGACATTTCCAAAATAAAGACATCAGACTTCCTTTCAGCAAATACATGGAAACTCCTCCCCAGAGAACTGAGCAGAAACTTGGACTGGCAACTCTCCAGACTAACGGAGTCAATACCTCAGTGTACACAGTGAGCACAAGTTCCCAATCCTGCACTGTCAGAGCATGTCACTCCAACCTAACTGCAAATGGCTGGGGACAGATCATAGTATAAAGTCCTTACAAAGAAAGGGGCAAAGAGAAATAGGGTTTTTATTTGTTCGCTTGTTTTTTTGAGACAGGGTTTCTCTGTGTAACCCTGTTGTCCTGGAACTAGTTCTGTAGACCAGGCTGACCTCGAACTCAGAGATCTGCCCGCCTCTGCCTCCTGAGTGCTGAGATTAAAAGCATGCACCACCACTATCTAGCCTGAGAAATAGGTTTTTTGAGGGCTAAGAAAAATCAGAGGGCTGAAGCGATGGCCCCGTTGGCAAAGCACTTTTAAAAGCACTGAGGTCCTGAGTTTGATACCCAGCACCCATATAAAATGTTAGGTTCTGGAAGACTTAGACACAGACAGCTCTCCTGGGACTCGCTGGCAGCCAGCTTAGACTAATTGGCAAGCCCCATGTCCCAATGAGAGACTTATTTCGAAAACAAAGTGGATGGCTCCAGAGAAATAGAGCATGAGTCTGACCTCTGGGCACTGAAGCACACGTGGGTATTCGTCTGGGAAGGTGTGCTTCAACAGAGGGCTCAGAGAAACCAGTCAACAGCACTGACATGCTGCACTGCCTAAACCCAATGAAGAACTCGGAGAAGTACGTCCCAGTTACAATCTGCTAAGTGCTGACAACAAAGATCCCACATGACAGCCCGTACTCCCAGGGGAACAGAGAGAATGGCCACAAGAGACCAGTGTCTGCAATGTGCTTCCTTGTGATGCTGCAGGAAACCAGAGCTGTGAATGTTGACTGTGGAGGGCTGGATGGCTCATCAGTCTGGCAAATTTTGCAACATAAGCAGCTATGTGTCCTGGGCAAGTCAGATTCTTCAAGGGTCTGTTTACTATTCTACTGCCTTCTCCATTAGCTGGAATTCACTCGTGTAACTGTGTCTGTCTCCTCTTCCCCTCCTATAGCAGGCAAGAACTTCTACAGAGAAGATGTAGAATCGCATTATGAGAACTCATCCTTTGATAAAAATCTCTATGAACAGGGACCACAGCCAACTACTTTATACTTACTGACAGCAGAATTATCACATTCAAAGTCTTCTTAGAAACCCTTGGATGTTCAAGTCTCTACATACTGCCCATCAAGATGCAAAGGGGAGAATGAAGCAAAAGGAGGTAGGCAGAAGCAGATACTGATTTGATGGGTAACAAAAACAAAAATTCAGCAAATGTTCCAAGGTCTTGAATATCAGCAGATAAGGGTGTTTGTCAACAGCCTGATAAGGCATGGTAGAGAACAAATCTCTACTCGTTGTCTGCTCTACATACTATGTGTACCTGCAAAACTTAAAGACATGCCAGGCAGCAGTGGCACATGCCTTTAATATCAGCACTTGGGGAGGCACAGACAGGTGGATCTCAGTGAGTTCGAGGCTAGCCTAATCTACAACACAAGTTCCAGGACAGTTAGAACTGTTATACAGAGAAACTGTGTCTCGAAAAACCAAAAAAATAAAAAACTAAAAATAAATAAATAAATAAAGACATAAAAATTTAAAAGAAATGTTACAAATAAAGTATAGAAACACACACTCACCTTCACAAATCATTGGCTCAATTGTAAACACGTGGCCCGACTTCATCACACCAACTGCCTTATTTTCTGAAATTAAAAGAAAGTCTCAAAAGACACCAAAACCCAACAGCACTGAACTTTACAGCTTGCAGAACAGGGGACTGACATGTCCAGCAGCTCCCCTTCATTAAATTCTCTCCTAGTCTGTCATTCAGCAAAGAGGCCATCACCAGTAACACCTGTCTGCAGGCAGATTGTATTCCAGCTTGGCTTTCTGCGATAAAATACAGGGATGTCCACAGGCAAGGCTTCAGATACAGTCACCACTGTGGAAAAGCAGTCTTTATGTTCCAGAGATTAGAAAAGGCAATCACTGCTGGGCGTGGAGGAGCTCACTGTAATTCCCAGAACTCTGCAAGTGTGTGTGGAGGGGGGGGGGGGGGGCCAAACAGAATACCACTGCCCATCACCCATCCACTTAGGGAAGTGTGAGTGGTATGTGTCATATGCCAGAAGCCTCTCAATTTTCTAAGGAAGGGGAGGATGGTTACATAATGGAATACACACTAGGAAACAAATACACAACCTAGAGAAAGGTCTGTAAGTAGTCTTTTATCTCATTCTCAAAGGGAATTAAAACTGCAGAATAGGCAACTTGTTTAAATGATAAGGAGACAACTCTTTCTATATGAAAGCAAATTGTACTTTACATTCTAAATATTTACTTTCCCTTTTGTCAACTTCACAACTAATATTTTTAGGACCACTGTGAGACATGAGCAAGGCTGCCTGGTCCTGCTTCGTCTCCAAAGCCAGAATCTAAAACTAGGAGCAGTCTTTTCAGAAAGACCTCACAAATATGGAGCACAAGCTTAAATTTAAAAAATGAAAGCATAAAAAGTGATAATTTATCAGCTAAATAAACATGGCGTTTACTCAGGCTGGCCACCAGAGGGCAAACATGTCAGTTGCTCCAGGGTTCTTTTGCAGTCAAAGGCACCCTTCCCAACTGGGCTGCTACTGTACAAACACTCACTATCTACTCCAGCTGGGCAGGCAAGCGACCCACACTTCCATCCCGCCCCTCCTGGTGAACAGCCAGCCTTACTGCCCCCACTACCTTAGGCTCCCCAACATACACTCACTGCAGATCTGCTTGTTAAAGTCATGTGAAGCCTTGGAAGCAGAAACCAACTAAGAACTCTAAGAATTAGGTTTTTCATTTCTAATATCATGAACTTGTTCTCAAAATGGCAACTTCTGATTCACAGGGAGTCATTCCCCTCGGTCTACCAAAGAGAAAATGCTAGGACCTCTTGTGTGGTGCCGCAGAGGACAGAGGCAGGAAGGGATCTAAAGCTGTGTTGTCGGTTGCTTCCACAGCAACAGAGATGGATTTTAATGTTTGTAAATAAATAAATAAACAAACAAACAAACTACAAAATTAAAAACTAAAACAATAGTTTCTGCCTCAGCTCCCATGTGAGCAGTCATGGTCGCTGTGTGTTCAGAATTTCAACTGCTATGTCCTATCTAGGTTAGCAGTGCTCCCCCAGAAATACTTCTAAAGATGCTAATGTGCAGTCAGAATCCCCCATCTTTTCTTCCTCATACTATCTGTTCCTTGCCCTCAAAAGAAACCTGCAGGCAAACTCAGCGTGGGTCTCACTTCAAAACATCTATTCAGGACTCCCTCCACCTGCAAAGTAATCTCAGGCATGCTTTAGTTAATGTCCAGGACCCAGTGACCGAGTGCTTCAGTCCTTACTGTAAGAAGCACTAGACCCAGGAGAAAGACTGAATCCAGGCAGACAGGCCCCAAAAGCATTTGCTCACTAGACTCAATCCTGAGCAAAGGAACTGCCCATGTGAGTACACAGTCTGCGGAAAGCCGGGCTCATAGACACTGAAGATGTGGCTAGGTGGTAGCGCTTGCCTAGCAGGCACAGTAAACAACAAACAAAGCTGAGGGATGATACAGAGATGTGACCATCACATGAGATAACACATATCATATCACCATCATTCTAAAACATCAGGTCATTTTTTGATAGGAATGTCAGGCAAACTCTAAGTGCTTCCCAGGTATCAACTCAATCCTAACAATTCCTGGATATTATCATTCCCTATTATTGTAGGATGAGAAAAACTGACACAAAGACATTAACGAGTGTTTACATAAAAGTTCAGAAAGAGAGGAAGAAACGTGTGCAAGTGCATACAGTCACATGCATCAAATTCCTGCTGCTCACTGTCGTGGACAGCTTTTACTTCTAACACCAAATAACAGATGTGCCCGTTAATGGGGAATCTTCCAGAGAAAGGATCTCTGGAACACAATGTCTTAGACTTCCTTTGCTTTTCTTCCATACTACTCTCGACTTAAAATAAGTACATATTCTCCTTTATTAAACCAATAAATAATACACAAAAAATTACCAGCAAACCAAGTTCGGATGAACTGATTTCACCTAAGGAACCAGAAGGGTGACAGCAAGACTATGTACGAACCACCACATCTATTTAGGTCTCTCCTAGAGTGCGCAGTCAGGTTACACTTCCTACTTCCCTTGCAGTTAGATATAATTAAGTCACTCAATTCCTACAAACTGGAACAAATACACGTTTGTGCGCATCCCCAGCTGGTAGACTACAACTCCCAAGCACATCCTTCCACACATCTCCCTCCCCTCCTGACACATTATCTGTTGACTAGGAGAGGAGGTCATGGTGACTGGTGACCGGAAAAGAAGGGTTGAAAGAAAGAGAGCCTGGATCACCCCTTCATGACCAAACACCTCCTATAGACTATCATGTAAGAAAGATTTCAACTTGCCTTGTGTTTGAACAGGTAACACTGGGAGGGAAAGGATGTACTCACAGCAAATATATTCCTTCAGTGAATACAAAATAGAAAGCCCTAAAGTATTTGAACAGTACTCACTGGCATAGTGTGGCACATTTGGGGCTGTATGGAAAAGTTTGTGGATTCCATGCCCACAATAGCTTCGAACAACTGAAAATCCATTTGCTTGGGCATGTTTCTGAATGATATTTCCCAGCTCTCTGTATCGAACACCAGGCTTCACTGAAAGAGAAAAAATAACCATAAAGAAGAGCAGCCCTTAACTAAGCAGTTGGTTTCCATGTAGCAAGGACCTTTGTATATATACACGATGCCTTCGTGCCTGAATAAGGAGATGAGGAAATTCAGGGGCAAGAAAATCCAGACAGTCAGTAATGACAAAGCTTATTCAAACACAGGAGGGCCACTAATGTAAAACAGGGGAAATGCCATGCAGAAAACCAAGGGGGGTCAAAAAAAGCACCTTCTGTTTTCTCTAAAAACAAAAAAATGGAAAATACAATCTTATGTTCTTTCCCTAAGGGTATCAATCAGGGTTCTCTAAAGAAACAGAACTTATAGAGAAAAAAAAATGCATTTTTTGAAATACAATAAAAAGTTATATTCAAATAATATATAAAGTTGTCCTCTTACCCCTAAAAGCACAGTAGCTTGTGTGCCTATGTGCACACATACATATATGTAATTTTTAAATTGCTTTAAAGGAGGTACATCTAAATATACAGGTTAAAAAAAACTAATTTGAAAGAATCTTTAAGATATCAGTAGAAAAAACAGTAAATTAGCAATATTGAACATTCTATGATTCTTACCTAATTAAGTACATACACTGTATATGGCTTAACACACAGCAGAGAGAAAAAGACCCTACAAGTACCAAGGACACTATGAAAAGCAAAAAGGGAGGCAAACCACAGAAGCTCCATCCTCATCCCCCCCAAATCCCTATCCTTATTTTAATTTCCTATGAGAACACAAGGCAAGTGAAAACAAAAAGACAAATAAAGAGAAAAATGCAGGGTGCTGGACAGTGGTGGTACACGCCTTTAATCCCAGTACTCCGGAGGTAGAACTCTGTGAGTTCAAAGCCAGCCTGGTCTATAGAACTAGTTCCAGGACAGCCAAGGCTGTTAAACAGTGAAACTCGGTCTCAAAAAACCAAGAAATAAATAAGTAAAATAAACGTGCATTGAACACTGGTGGTATGTGGTGCAAGAGGGTGTCATGGCTGAGACTGACCTGCATCAATGGCTTGCATCAGGCATTCATATGTAGTCTGGACAAGTTTCCGTGCTCCTTCATCCACATCTCCAACAAAAAAGGTCTCATTTAGATCCCCGTGATAACCATTTCGATAAAGAGTGATGTCCACTGGGAGGGGGAAAAAGGCAAATGTAACCAAATGAAAACAATCCTGTGTGCACTAACTCCCCAGTGAGTGTGGTGCTGCCTAAGGAAAACCCTGGGAGAAATTCACTCAACTCACTGTAGAGAACAAGAATATGGCTGTGCAGCACAAGACAGATGCAGGCTTTTATGTCAATAATGAGATCCTTTGTGACAGGAGAAATACTACACGGAAGACAGCTGTGTAAGGTAAAGAACCAGGTCAGCAACACTGAACTGACGACTTCACTAAGTTCTGAAATTAAACAGCAAACATTTCCACTGTCTTTAACTCGTTCTTCCTCGGACACAAGAGCAAAGCTTATCTTATCTAGTTCTAGGGTTTTTTTAAATCCCACTGGTCTTTCATCCTTCTGTAAGTATTCAATTGTCTTCATTCCAGGCTTAAAATAAAGATTACTACTGTGTCACTACAATAAATTATCTAGAGAACACACCAAGTGAGTATCTTTACATGGCAGAGCGGACGGCTCATCCCTGGAAGTGCCTTATGCTGTCACAACAGAAAGATAAGGTCAATCAGGTGTGGTGGTGACGGCTTCAACCTGGGGAGGGGGCAGTCAGGTGGAGCTCTTTGAGTTCAAGGCCAGCGATTGCTACGGAGTGAGACCAGGTTTTAAATATTAACAATAATTAAATATTATGAAAATCAGGGCTGAACTCAGAATTTATGAAATCTTCATAAACAACCTTAAGAAGTCAGTAACAAGTACAATACTGTATTATAGTTATTTTCTTCTAGTTGTAGTCTCTTTGGATACTACAAAGACTAATTTCATGGGTAATAAAAATGCCATGTAGGGGGCCTGAAGAGATGCCTCAATGGATAAAGTGATATCTGAACAGTAATGAGGACCTGAGTTCCTATCCCCAGCATCCACATAAATACAGTCAAGTGTGGAACACATGCCTGTGACCCCAGCCCTGAAGACTAAGGAGCCAGCTGGTGTAGTTACAATGGTGACAGGACAGGTTAAGTGAGAGTGCGACAGAGGAAAACACCGAAGTCAGCCTCTAGCTACGCACAGGTAAGCACACACACATACAAGAACACACTCAGTCAAGTGCAAGCTTTACATTATACACGTTTTAATGTATGAATTGAAATATATACATATATAATACACACACATACAAGACTACATCTAGGGAGGCCTATCAGTTTTTAATTTTTATTGTTTGAGAACTTAATGCATGAATATAATGTGTTGCAATCAAATTCACTGCATTCCTTCCACTTTTCCATTCCCAACTTTATGTGTTGGTTTTAAAAACACCAAGTCCTCTCAGTCCTCTATATACATGGTGTAGGCCACCTCCTGGAGCATGTGGCGTCCCTGACTCTCCCTCCCTCAGAAGCCATTGTTGAGCCGCTCGGCTCCACCCACTGCTAGAATCTTGGCTGGCGTGATCATGTAAAGGTCATGTGTGTTCAGTCACAGGTGCTGTGAATGTCCAGAGCCATCATGTCCAGCACACGCTGCTTCTCTGCAGACGTCCACAGCCTCTGACTCTAAGGATCTTTCCAGCCCTCTTCTAAAATGGCCCCCGAGCCTTGGCAGGGGTAGGGTGAGAGGATGAGTGTGATACAGATGCTCCACTTAGAGCTAACACTCCAGACTCATCTATTTCTCTGCATGTTGGCTACTTTGTGAGTCTCTGGGTTAACTGCCAGCTACTACAAAGAGATGGTTCTCTGATCAGAGTTAAGAGCGGTACTCCTCTGTGGTGCAAAGATAAGTGATGGAGGAGGGTTATCTGTCTATTGTGTTATTTTCATTGGTCAATAAAGAGACTGCCTTGGCCCCTTGATAGGACAGAAAATTAAGTAGGCGGAGTAAACAAAACAGAATGCTGGGAAGAGGGCTATGAGGCAGACGCCATGGAGCCAGCCACCAGGTCAGACATGGTGAATCTTTCCTGGTAAGCCACACCTCGTGGTGCTATACAGATTATTAGAAATGGGTTAATCAAGATGTGAGAGTTAGTCAGTAACTAACTCTCTAGAGATAATGGGCCAGGCAGTATTTAAACGAATACAACTTACGTGTTATTATTTCTGGGGCTAAGCTAGCCGTGCGGGAGCCGGGCAGGACGAAAAGCAGGTCTGCCCGCAGTCCCTCACTACAGATAAGAACCTAGGGTACCATTTAATACTGGGTCCATTTAGCAGAATAGTTGTATCACGTTCTCCCCTGAAGTCTATGACTTAGCCTACGACTTAGACTTTTGGCCCAGGTAACAGTATCAGGCTTGAGTTTCTTAAATCAAATCAGAAAGTGGTTGATGATCCCCATAACATCCATGCACCAGGGTCATCTCTTGCCAAGCCAGTTACTACTGTAGCTCACAGTGTTCACAGCTGGGTAAGACTGTTGTCTGCTTTTCTCTAGGGGAGCTAGCTCAACACATGCAGTGTTTGCAAGACAGCAGAGTGCAGGAGCTCAAAGCCACTCCATTTTAAGAAGCACTTCTGCAAGAGTATTTCCCTGAAATCTCTCCTAAAAACTCTCTTCATAACCATTAGTAAATGTTGGTAAAAGAAAATGATATAAAAAGTCCAATATTAATTTTGCATTGACAATTTTTGCCTACTTACCAATCACATGAGAAATAGGCTATGAAGAAAAAACAGGCTATATAGAACACATCATACTAAATGTATGCTGAAGACAACACACATGCAATTGCTAAACATAGGTTTCCTGCCAGGTATGGTGCAGAAAATCCACGAGCACCGGGAGGCAGAATTTTCTGAGTTCAGCCTGGTTTACATAGTGAATTCCAGAACAGACAGGGTTCTGTAAAGAGACCCTGTCTAAAAATAAACAAAGTGGGATTCCTTTGATTTTGAGTGACAGAGTTTTAAATAGGAAAAAAATCAAGTCAAGAAAATAGAAACCACCTAACAGACTCCCAAAACTTGTTTCTTTACTCACAATAAGGAATGTCACACATATTCTCTTACCATTAACAATATCACCTTCTTGCAAAGGCCGTCTGTCTGGAATCCCATGGCAGATGACTTCATTTACTGAGGTACAACAAGACTTTGGGAAATTATAGTAATTCAGGGGAGAAGGATAGCAATTTCTTGCAATGCATGCCTATGGTAAATTAAAATACAAAGAAAATCATTTGGAATGGACAAAAGGAAAAAAAATCTATACACAACTAATCAGATCGTAAAATCTGAAGAATTTTAAGACAGATGCTATTATAAAGAACTGTTATTATATTTTACTTGAAAATAGTGATGGGTGTATAGATATATGTGCATGTATATATGCATAAATGTGTACTGGCAAACACAGACACACACACACCCATTCTCTCTCTCTCTCTCTCTCTCTCTCTCTCTCTCTCACACACACACACACACACACACACACACACACACACACACACACCATGTTTTCTCTGAACTAACAGACCAAGAAACAGTACTATAGACATATGATGGCACCATGCCAGGCCAGTAGATGTTACCTGGTCCAGTCTAGTATGCTACATGCCAATTAAATATACTGTTTGCAAACCAGTTTATTACTCTTCATGTAAAGGAGAATCAAATTCACAAAATACAAATAACTGTCATCATATGAAGAGTTTACTGACTTTACTACTTGTGAAACAGATTTTCAGTAAAAATAGCCCATATTAATAAGCACCTTTAATAGTACCCTGTTATGTTAAGGTCGACTCCATCCCTATAACAAGAAAATACATGTATAATTAAGAAATAGTAAAGTACTTTCTGCAACATATGATAATCCCTTTTGACATTCTGTGGCGTTAGAGAGCAGCTGTGTGAATCCTACAGCGGTACTCCCAGAGTGCCATAGGCTCTACTGCCGAGTGGATTTCAGTCTAGTGAGTCTCTAAGACTGCAGGAAATACCATCTGTGGAATAAATAGTCCATAATTTACTAGAGATTCCACTACTTCTAGAACCCTGTAGGTAACTTCACAGGAAATAATGCTATCCTCCTGGTGCTTTGTGCTTCTGCAGCTATCACAACCTCCGTCCTGGAGTAGACCGTCAGCCTCACCCCTTATAAGTTCTGTGACCCTGGGTAACCTAACATCTCTTTCTCCTCAGGCCTACAAAATGGAAGCAAAAGGAGCACCTACTTCCAGAGGATGCTGGTGATATCAAATGAGTAAATATAAAGGCACATTAAAGGGCACCCAGCCCAAGAAAGTGCTCAAAATTCCTAACAATGATATACCAATATATATTCAATACCCCAACTCAGAATTCATATAAGGCTAAATAAAAAATTTACAAGGCCAGCATAATGGTTCAGAGGGCAGAGTCACTTGCCACCAGCCTGCAACCCGAGTTCCATCCTCGTGACCCACATGATAGGAAAGAAGTGACTTTCACAAGTTTTTCTGACACACACACACACACACACACACACACACCCCACCCCACATAAACCAAGCAATAAATTCTAGACTGTTAAAAAAAAGCCTCCAACGATGTTTTCTTTTTTAATTTTTAAAACATTTTTATAAACTCAGGACACAGTCCAGTTCCGTCAGGGAGGCTGTCACCATCTACAAACCACCATCACTGTATGGCATGGGGGTCAGTTTCATCCCCACCTTGCAAGCAAAGGATGAATAGAGAGATCTTTAGAAACCACTGTCTACATGTCTGAACTTTTTTGTGCACAATGTAGGCACACGATGTATTACTAGTCTACAACTAATAGACTCTAACAAGCAATCTTTATTTTAAAACAAAAGATACTGTCATGTAATATATACTACAAATTTTATCTGATCTGTTTATTGTCTTGTTAATGAGGATTTTGAAGTTATGTGGTAGTTTCAATAAGACCCACAAGCTCATTTATTTGAATGCTTAGTCACCAGGGAGTAGAATCCTGGTAGGACAAACCTTTGGCTTACAAGGTTAGGAGGTGTGACCTTGTTAGAGAAAGCATGTCCCGGGGGATTGGCTCTCTCCCCTCTCCTCTGTCTACTCACTGTCTACCACCCTTCCACCACCAGCCTGCATGCTGCCAAGCCTCTGCCAAGAGAGTAAAGGACTAACTCTCTGCAACTATAAGTGAGGACAGATTAAATGCTTTCTTTGTAAGAGCAACTGTGGCCATAGCATCTCTAAGACAGGATTCTCCCATCTCATCTGTTTATTGCCTTTTTCCTGTGTGTATGAAAGGGAAACTAATTTCTAGTCTAGTTTCTGAAGTTTATTCTGTATTTCAGAATACCTGGCATGTGTAGTGGTATGATTTATTGGAAGCACTGGTTAATCAATTCTGTAAAACCCGCTAAAAGACTGAGGTTTCAGAATAACATTTCCCAAGCATCCCTGGATTTCAGCATCACATACATAGTCATTCATGCCTCAGTACCTGTGGAGGACGGGTTCCTCAATACCCGGCTGGCTACAAAAATCTGCAGACACTCCAGTCTTCAGTACAGTGTAGTGTCTGCATAGACACTATCCACATCCTCCCCACACTTTAAACCATCAGTCTATTATTTACTATTACACTGCAAATACTCCTATTCAGAGAACAGTAACAAGGAATAAAAGAACACAAACATGTCTATACAAACCTAAGATATCTTTTTCCCAAACATTTTCAATTGCTCAGGGCCGAATGCCTAGATGCCCAAGAACTGTAGGTAGGATATACTTACCAATTAATAGCTACAGAATCTTCCCATATTCAAAACAACACAAAAATAAGCTTTCAAATTCGCTTAATAAAGTTACTTTGGACATTATAAAATCAATTTTTGAAACTTTTGCTATAAAAAAGTAAAGTTCTTACTAAGTGTACAGCGTGATCGATTTCTTCAGTAGTTACACCTGCTTTAATCATCCCAGCAGCAATATCCAAGACTTCTCTAGCAAGCTGAAAAATAAGTACATTCAAGAAGAAATAAAACAATCTATACTCTACACTAGCTTTGACTTTATGAAAAATCAGTAAAATAAAATCATTTGATGTAATTTTGAATATAATATTTAAAAGTCAGAAACATAATATAAAAGTATGTAAGAATAAATGTATATAAAAATTGGGATAAATAAGTTTACTAATAACTTTTTGTTTTTGAGACAGGCTTTCTCTGTGTAACAGCCATGGCTATCCTGAAACTTGATTTGTAAACCAGGCTGGCCTTGAACTCGCAGAGATCCACCTGCTGTTGCCTCAAAGTGCTGGGATTAGAGGCGTGCACTACCACCATCTGGCACTAATAAGTAAGCTTAATGAAGATTTATATCCTAAATTAGGTAAACTATCAACTGACAGTCTTACATTTCTAAAATGGGGGAGCATGAAGGGAAATATAAAAAAAACCTAATGAATTTCCTCAAAAAATTTCATAGTAAGCAAAAGAAATATAAAATTCTCCAGTAAATAAATAACATCAAATCACTTTAAAATGTTCCACAAAGGCCTTAAGTGAGCATCTAAATGAACACAATCAGTTATGTTTCTAATCCCACCCATACTCCAAACACAAGTGTCTCACAAGGCTTTAGTCTAACTCTGTATGAGCCTTGGACTTTGTCCTGTGCTATAACATTTGTAAACATAGAATTATCATAAAAACTTCACTCTTAAAAATAATGCTGGTAGCCAGGTGGTGGTGGCACATGCCTTTAATCCCAGGCAGAGGTAGGTGGATCTCTGAGTTTAAGGCCAGCCTGGTCTACAGAGTGAACTGCAGAATAGCCAGGGATACACAGAGACTCTCTCAGAAAAACAAAACGAATAAAATAAGAACAATGCTTCAAAAGCTCTTGAGCAAAACCATGCTCATCTTCCTGTCTTTGCAATTAAGTAAATATGTTTATCCAAATAAACAAACAATACAAAACTGATCAGAGAAAATGGCAATTACAGATGAGTCGCTTAGTTTCATTCTAAAATAGATTATTTAAATTTAAAAATGTTTTAAAAATAAAGGGATGGTTAATGGGAGTTTACAATTTACAGCTTCATAAACCGTAAATCACAGACTTCCTGTGATTCCTCTTAACCCTGTCCTACCCGTGAAGAAAAACAACTTACCCTACACACAAGTCGCATCCCTTCTATATCTTCAGCTGAGAGTAATTTGATTTGAGAAGTACCTTTGAGAGCCTGTTCAGATTCAGACATTCCTGGAATGGAAAATGAGTGAGTAAAACCACAACCAACGGAAAGGCAGAACTCAGTACACTATACCCTGACGGCCCGGTAACCGCTGATTCTCCGTATGGACCATACAATACTATCTCAATTTAAAAGGATCCAAGTAAGCTTTTTTTTTTTTTTAGTATTTTCAACACTACAGTGGGATATTATTTGTGTTTTAATAAATAAAGTTCGCCTGTAGATTAAGAGGGCAAAGCAGCCATACTAGTCAGCCATACAAGCCAGGGAGTGGTGGCACACACCTTTAATCCCAGGACTCAGGAGACAGAGGCAGGTGGATCTCTGTGAGTTCAAGGCTACACAAAATTGAATTTAAAAGAGAAACAGAACTCACACAGAGGTGACCCCAGCACTTGGGATCACAGGCCTTAATCCCAACATTAGGGAGGTGGAGATAAGAATGATATGGCTAGGTGGAGAGAAGACTACAAGGGGAAACAACGGGAACTCAGTGGAGTGTAGAGTGTGGGGTGTGGAGGCTTCAGGATTGGTGGAGATAGGATCTCGCCCATTTTCAGACTGAGGTAGAGGTAAGAGCCAGTGGCTGGCTGCTTTGCTTTTCTGATCTTCAGGTTGAACCCCAATTGGACTTTTATTATTTGTACTATACAACACAAGAAGGAAATAAAGAAACTGAATAAAAATATCTAAAAACTCTACTAAGAACCAGTCAATGTTCACAGAGTACTGACTATATGCCGGGAAGTATACTCAGATTTACTAATGATGTACAGCACAACTTACAAACAGCTTTCATGCCATGAATGAATCATCTACACACCAGCAACTAATCATCAACTGCCTTATTGCTCTAAAAGCAAACCTAAGTCATTGTCCTCAAAATACAGTTAGGACCTTGCCTAGGGGATTTTGTTTGTTTTGTTGGGTTTTTTTGTTGGGGGGGGGTTGTTTTGTTTTGTTTAAGTTTCATGTGTATTGGTATTCTGTCTGCATGCTCTGTGGTCTTAGAGGCCAGAAAGGGCATCTGGTTCCCTGGAACTGACATTACAGTAGGATGTGAGCCATCAGGAAGGTGCTGGGAATTGAACCTGGGTCCTCTTAAAGAGCAGCCAATGTTCTTAAACACTGGGTCATCTCTCCAGACTGGTTTATGACTTTCAGTAGGCTCTAACTAACATCTGAAAAGTGAAAAAGGAGTAGAAAGGACCACATTGTGTATTATAAAGCCCCAGGTAAATATGGCTGTGAAATACCTGATTATTATTTTTATGCACACAGATCATATCATAAAACCAATTTTTCACTCAGGGTCATAATTAAAAGTTTGGGAAATCCTACCCAAATAATCTTCATCAATGAAATTAGTTTAATTCAAGTTTTATACATACTTAAAAGAAACAGTCAATATAGCAATTTCAAAATCTTGGGAAGAAAATGAATCCTGTTTTCATTCTCTAAAATGGAAAATGCCCAAACAAAATTTTTTGCCATTTCTTTACATGTGTGCTGGTCTGTGGAGGTCAGTCAGAGTATTGGACACCCTAGGGCAGGAGTTAGAGGCAGCTGGGTACTCTTGAAGGCAGAAAGCACTGTTAACCACTGAGCTCTCTCTGAAGCCTCCTAAATAACTTTTCATTACTATAAATTAAGAAAAGATTCACATCAAAAAACAGGATTATCAATTCAATATTAGAAAGTAAATGACTATCCAGAAAGATAATCCTCATAACTTGGGTTGCTATTACCTTAAAATATAAATCTCAAAATATAAATCTCAAATCAAAAAAAAAGAGCATCTGGGACAATGCTACACTAGCAGACATAAGTGAAAGAAAGAAAACATAAAACATAAAAGGAAGGACAAAGGCTTTATCAACTTCAGATTTTACATAGTCACTGAACAAAAAAGAACCATCTGATAAATGGATAAAAAGAAGAATTTAGCAAGTTAGCAGTCAAGATGTCAAAAATCAAAAACTCTGCCTATCATAATACAAACAAGCTACTAAACAATAAGGTACCCAGAACAAATGTAACAAAAAAAGAGCTTCAAAAAGGAACTCTGAAAACTTCACTTTAAAGATATAAAAGATATAAAAGGAGATTAATACAACACTTTAAAGATATAAAAGATATAAAAGGAGATTATGCCAATAATAATAATAAATAAACAATAAATAAACAATGCCAACAAGATATTTTGGGAATCAAGACAAACTTATTATAAACTTAATACAGAAAAAGAAAGATGCAAGAATATTCAGCAAATTTCTGGGAAAAAAAAACAACAAACAAACAAAAAACAACGGCGACAGCTGCAAGGCCTGCAAATATGAAAACATTTCCAGTAGTCAATTTGGCAATGGCATATGATTACACAAACGGGACAATCAAACACCAGATCAAAGACATGAGAATCAAATATAATAATACAAGACACATTTATCTTACTATATACAAATGCTGAAAGTTTGAATAATACAATGACAAAACATTAGTATTCAGTTGAAGAAAAAACATTTTTATCATATAATTCAGACTGTTAATATACAAAGAACATTTTAAAAATCAACTTTGAAAAAAACTATTAATCTAATCTGGTTAAGAATATGAACAGACATTCAAAAGGAAAGAAAATACAATTTTTAACACATGAAAACTTGTTAAGCCTTATAACTTAAAAATGTAAGCTAAAATAAAATATATAATTTCTCAACCTTTCAGATTTATAAATACCATAAAAACTTGATAACAAATAATACTGGTAATGCTGGTGACAATGGAAGAGAAGCAAAGTGTTTTTCTTTGAAAATGTGGACCATTCCATGAAGTTGTGTGTCATCCTCAAAGAGGATGCTAGTCTTCACTGTATCGTTCAAATTTGGTGTAGGTTCTGTCAGAGCAAGCATGCCCGTTTTTTGTTTGTTGGTTTTTTGGAGGGTTTTTGTTTTGTTTTTATTTGGTTTTTCAAGACAGGGTTTCTCTGTGTAGCTTTGGAGCCTGTCCTGGTACTAGCTCTGCAGACCAGGCTGGTCTCGAACTCACAGAGATCCCATGCCTCTGCCTCCCCAGTGCTGGAATTAAAGGTGTGAGCCTCCACCGAGGCTCATGCTCATGTTTTTTAAGAGTAATGATTGGCAAACACTCTGATATTTCTAATATCTCAAAATAAAAATGAATATATCCTTTGAGTCAAACCATTAGACAATTAACCTAAAAAGATATTCTTAATTATGAACAAAGACGAAACTACAAGAATAGAAACTACAATCAAATTCACAGAAGCAAAACCCTGCAAATAATCTAATCTAACCATTCATTAGTAGAGGCCTGGTTGATAATTATGATACACCTACACAATGAAATTAAAATTAGAACTAAAGAACTTATATGAACTCATATAGAGCACATCACAATATATTAACATATTAAGAGAGGACAAAAAGGTGAAAAGATGTATTGGTGTGTGTATTTGTATATAAACTCACAGAATATCTTGGGAATGTTCTTAAACTTCTACAGTGTAGGACTTCTTTTCATTATATTCTGTTAAAAGTTATATTTATTTCTTAAAATATTAAGTTAATACTACATTCAAAGGAGAATAATAAAACTACATGTGGCCAAGGTATCACTATACTGTCTTTTCCTTATATTTATTCACAATGAATTTAACTAAATTTTAAAATTACATATAGAAAAGTAATGCCATGGCTCCGCACATCTTAAAAGCAAAGCGGCTATCTAAGCTCCCATTCAGTGCTACAAGATGTCCACAGAGGCAGCAGACATGGAATTCCACGCTCAGAAGGCTGAGCCGGGAGGACTGTCCAGGAGGTCAGCTTGGGCTAGGTAGTTAGATCATGTCAAGAATAAAAAATGTTAAATATTTTAATTTAAAAATAAACAAATGTAAAAACCACTGGTATTCAACCATTACTCATTTCTGACATGCAAAACCTGTCAACACCTAGACTAACCTAAATACTATACAAGTTCAAAGGTCAGAGACTAAGTCCACTGACCTGTGTGGCAAATTACTCATCTTCTCTGCATATCTCACTATTATTATCTATAAAATAGAGAAGACAACAGAACCTACCTCAGAAATGTTGAAAGTATTAAATGGAGTAACACGTGCAAAGAACTTAGCACAGTGCCTGACACACAGCTAAGTAGAAATAAATATCAGTTACTGTCACAGCCATCCCCGCCACGCTCAAAGCACCACCTCCAGCACCACCGCCATCCTCTACGCTGCTACAGCCCAGTCTGGAGTGAGGCATTCACTCGGGCCTTCAGAATCTACTTTTGCCTTAATTTAGGTTAAGAGCAAAAAGAAAATCAAAGCCTTTCCCTCCCATCTGGCAGTTCATTTAATACAAAATACAGTATTTTTCTCAATGTTGTCTTTAATAGCCACATAAACCCTGTTTTCAGAACTGGACAGATTCCTAGAGGGGGGAAAATCTTTATCTTAAATATTCTAATGTGGCTTTAAAAAAAAAAAAAAGTTTACATTTACATGTCCAGCACTGAAAACGCTCTACAGAAGAGCACTCCTTCCTTTGCAGTGATAATCAAGCCCACACACGGAAAAGTGAAAACACAGGCAAGCAGGACTTACCTAAGGGATGGTCAGCGTAGTCTGGCCTCTGAATGTAACTGGGCACTGGCCTTGTTGGCATCTAAAAACATTAACAAGATGAGTTCAGCATCTATTAACTAGTAAAATAAACCTGGGAAGAAGGCTGAAGAGTGGAGCTCAGGCAGAAGTTTTTAATAAGTCAATTTTAAACCAGGCCGGGGCCGCGCGGGGGGGGAGTGTACGCCTTTAATCCCATCAGTAGGGAGGCAGAAGCAGGATCTGCGTGTGTTCGAGGCCAGTTTGATCTACAGAGTGAGTTCTGGGACAGGTTCCAAAGCTACAGAGAGAAACTCTTATCTCAAAAACCCAAATAAGTGAATGAATGAATGAATGAATGAATGAATGAAATGAAAGAATTCTAGTTGGCATGCTAATGTTGTAAGAGCCTAGTCCGTTCACTGACGCTAAGCTTACTTTCTGTGCCAGTGCACACATACGTCTGAGAAAGGAGAGCTCATAGATATGAGGCCGGAGAAACGGCCAGTGTTTAACACGTAACCCATTTCCCACCACGTTCATCAGGTGGCTCCAGGGAGACCCAACTCCTCTGATATCTGCTGGCACATGAACTCATGTGCAAATACCCACACAGAGATAGAAATGCAGAATTTAAACAATAAGAGGAGTAATCTTAAAAAAAAAAAATTAAAATCACCAGGCTCTTGCTCCAAACTGGAACAAAGTTGCATCTCAGAGCAAAAAGGAAAAAGTACATATTCCTAGACACAATCACTGGAAGGGGATACAGAAACATCCGTATGTGTCTGGTAGCTTTCCAAATTTTATATTAAGTACATATTCATTTTATTAAAAGTACAAGACATAGCCAGGTGGTGGTGGCACATGCCTTTAATCCCAGCACTCGGGAGGCAGAGGCAGGCGGATCTCTGTGAGTTCCAGGCCAACCTGGTCTATAAGAGCTAGTTCCAGAACAGGCTCTAAAACTACAGTGAAACCCTGTCTCAAAAAACCAAAAAAAAAAAGGAAAAAAAGTACAAGTCAATTTAAATATTCAAGGGCAGCAAATTTCAACTTAAGTGAATTCTCATGTTAAAACTCTTGAATCCAGAAGGCATAGCTGCACATGCCTTTAATCTCAGAATTTGGGCAGCATTGGCAGGTAGATCTCTGTAAATTTGAGGCCAGCCTGATTTATAGAGTGAGTTCCAGTACAGCCAGAGCTACAAATGGAAAGCCTATCTTGAAAAACCAAAGCCAGAGAGAGAGAGAACATTTATCCCATTCTTATTTAAAATTTATAACGTTTTAGTCTTTATATCTAAAATCTCCACTTCTTCCACAACTGCCTACTGTCCTACTAGCTCCCAAACAATATACCCCGAGCTCTAGAATGGACGGTGTTCCTTCCTGAAGGCAATCCTGTTCGTTACTCACTACTGGCATACAAATTACAAGCATTAGTTTCAGGAAACTGAAAACTAGTTAAAGACAATGATACATCCCAGTTACCTGACATACTCACCAGTGGATAATGTGGTCTGAGTTTACCAGTGTACCGGTAGCCTGCCCATGGATCAGTGTTAACATCTCCTTCTACGGTCCAGGAACACACTTCCCGTTTCGCCTTTTCATCTTCTGGGAGAGAGAGAGAGAAACAGATATGAAGGTGAGAGGAGAGAAAGATGCTTCGGTCTTCAGGCTACTGAGCAGCAGTGCACTTTACTTTTCACTTAGCTGAATACAGACCAGAGCGCACAGGCACAGAGCTCTAGCAAGCACCCAACCTAACCTGACGACACGGCTGCTGTGGTGCTCTGCTCACAGTTCTGACCTCTCAGATCCCAGGGAAGAAGCAGCTAGACACTGCTGTACAGTCTCAAACAGAACAGCAACCAATGGTAAACGCATGTTCTCTACAATGTCAGTTCATACAAACTTAACTTTAAAATAACACATGAGTTAAACCTTCCCATCTGAATTCAGACATAACAGCTGAATTTTATGCTCTTATTTAATGATTTAATGATCCTAAATCGCCCCACAGCAAACTTACATTTAAAAGAAATGCAATTTAAACAATCAATGGCTTTTTTTAACGTTTTATTTCTCTTTTATTTTTTTCCCCAAGATTTATTTTTACATGCATTGGTGTTTTGCCTGTGTGTATGTCTGTGTGAGGGCACCATATTTCCTGGAAATGGAGTTACAGGCAGTTGTGAGCTGCCATGTGGGTGCTGGGAATTAAACCCATGTCCTCTAGAAGGGCAACCAGTGCTCTTAACCACTGAACCATCTCCCAAGTCCCCCAAGCACTGTTCTTATTTTTTTTATTTATTTATTAAAAATTTCCAACTCTTCCCTGCCTTCCTTTTCCCTTCCCCTCCCCACCATGCCCTTCCCCCCCCCCCAGTCTTAAGAGCAGTCAGGGTTCCCTGCCCTGTGGGAAGTCCAAAGTCTTCCCCCATCCATACAGGTCTTCCAAGCACTGTTTTTAAGTGAAGGTTTTTATCAAGACAAAACTATTTCTGAACCCCAAACAAAAATGGGCTCCATTCACTGACACTAGATTCAAGTATTATTGAAAATTCTTCAGGTAAAGCTAGCATTAAGTGGTCTGTCTGAAACAGGACCCTCTAGAACGTCTCCTTAAGTCTAGGACAGGACAAACAAGATCCAGGCTTTTGCTGAGCACAGTGGCCCACATCTGTCATTCCAGCAGTTGGAAGACTAAAGTAGGAGGACCATTAAGTTCAGGTCACACAGAATACTCCATCACTAGGCTCAGGGCTATCCAAGATGGCTGGCTCAGTAAATAAAGGAGGCACCAACACCCCACAGGGCAAAAGGAGAAAACTATATCCTCCAAAAGTCCTGACTTCCAACCGTGTAGCATGTATTCCTATACATGCAAGCATAAATACAAATAAAATGGTAAATGAAATTTTAAAAAAATCTAGATTCTGTCTCAAAACAAGTTCAAAAAGGCTGTGCTTTACCATCCTCCTAGGAAGGAAACAAGGAAAAAGGAAAGGAAAGGAGGCCTTTCAAATCTCCCTGCTGATCTACATTCCTGCCCTTTTACAAACAGTATTTTCAAAGAAGAATTGAAAGCAGACCTCAAACAAACAACACAAAAGCTATTAAGAAAAACAAGGCTGAAACACAAGTTCTTTTCTAATCTTTATACAGAACTCACTTACACCTGAAAATTTAAGTAAGCTTACATTTCAAGATCCGTTTAATCCTAGACAAGTACTAGATTCCTAATAATCCTGAAATGAGCTGAGGCTGGTAGCAAAACCTGTTAAACAGCTGCAAAAGCAAAGGACGCTGGATGCTATTTTTCAAAAACCACAATGCAATAGGTTCAGATAAGACACAGGCACAGTGACAGGAACATCAGACTTCAGGCACTATAAGGCCCAAAATATATGACCTCCAAGCTATACACTTTCATTCAAGGATGAAACCCAACGCAGCAAATCTCTTCCTTTATGCTTTGGTAAACTTTCACTTACAGTATTTCCCACTGGCAGACTACATTTCCTCTCATGGATAACCCAACACTCCCATTAAGCAGAGATATCACTTTATACCACCACAAAAAAGATATCTTTTAACAATTGTGTTCCCTTTTCCTTCAAAGAAGGTTTGATTAACCTCAGATGCTTTGGTAGAGCAATCTAACAAACTTCATTAGACCAACGACCTCCTAGAAAACAGAGGCAGATGAGTACAAGGTCCCAAAATCACCAAGACAGAAAGTTTACAGCAACTAGCACACTACCTGCTAAAACAGTAGCATCAGAGGGCAGCGCTCTATGCACAGCAAGGCCTTGTCGATTGCCAGGAAACCACGGCAGGTCAGCCACACTAATAACTATGTTTACAGGATGAGCTGATACAGAAAGGCTATCTGAATCACAGCCACACTAATAACTATGTTACAGGATGAGGAGCTGATACAGAAAGGCTATCTGAATAACAGCCACACTAATAACTATGTTCACAGGATGAGGAGCTGATACAGAAAGGCTATCTGAATAACAGCCACACCAGTGTGGCTGACAATGGCTGAGAAACAGTTAATAGTCTGTGGGGTAATACAAGACACCCCCAAAAATCAACAGGGTTTGGTAACACATGCCTATAATCCAGCACTTGGGCGGTAGAAATAGGGAGGTCAGGATTTAAAATCATCATCAGCTACAGAGCAACAGAGATCTGGCCAAATAAAATCAAACAGCCCCTGTATCCTCTGCCTACAATATGCAGACACTTTTAGCAAAGACAAGAGGGTGCCAAGAGATTAGGGCACTATCAGGTACTAGTCAAGTTAGAGCCATCTACCCTCGCAAAGACCTCATGTTTTCATATTAAACAAATGAAACAACATGTGATTAGATATATTTTATTATATATTACCAAAGAATAATAATTCTAGAAGTCAGAATTCTACTTTCAGAACTAAGAGAAGTTCTAATGCTCGCTCACCAGCTGCATCCAAGGCCAAGGGTGTAAGGATAAACAGTGTTACTTACTTGCTTTCTTATGTAGTAACTTGTGAGTAGCCCAACTTCCTTTAAAGCATTCCTAAAAGAAAAAACAAGGAAACCTGTTTCAGGCCTTCCTTAATCAGAAACATTTTTAAGGACTGTTCCACAGAAGAAACAGTTAATGGCCGGGTATGATGGTACATGCCATTAATCCCACCCATCTGGAGGCAGCGGCATGCAGGTGGGATCCAGGCCAGTCAGGACTACACATTGAAACAGTACCTCAAAACGTAACAAAAATAAATAAATAAATAAATAGACTGAAACACAAACGTTTGAAAAATATATATTTATAAAAAGCTTAAGAAATGACATCAGCAGGCAGCAGTGGCAATACACACCTTTAATTTAATCCCAGCACTCAGGAGGTAGAGGCAGGCAGATCTCTCTGAGTTCGAGGGCAGCCTGGTCTACAGAGCAAGTTCTAGGACAGCCAAGGCTGTTAGAGAGAAAGCCTGTCTCAAAATCCCAAAAAGAGGGGGAGGGAGGGGAAAGAAAAGA